CGGGCGGGGCCCGCCAGCCTTGCCATCGGGGCTATGTGGCAGGGTTGGTCACAGCTGCCTTCCCATCCTCCCCGAAGGTCGTGGGCCTCAACTTCTCGAGCGCCACCACCCCGGAGCTGCTCCTGAAGACCTTCGACCACTACTGTGAGTACAGGCGCACCCCCAACGGGGTCGTCCTGGCGCCCGTGCAGCTCGGGAAGTGGCTGGTGCTGTTCTGTGACGAAATCAACCTGCCAGACATGGACAAGTACGGGACCCAGAGGGTCATCTCCTTCATCAGACAGGTCTGTCGGTGTCCACGAGGCCCCTCCCCACGGTCCGTGTGCGCGTTTTGCTCCTGTTGTGTTACACGCCTGTGTCTTGCAGATGGTGGAGCATGGAGGCTTCTACCGGACCTCTGATCAGACGTGGGTGAAGCTGGAGAGGATCCAGTTTGTCGGGGCTTGTAATCCACCCACTGATCCTGGAAGGAAGCCCCTCTCCCACAGGTAAAGACTTCTGCAGCTTCACACACGACAGTCAGGATTAGTGTAAACATTATACAGAAAAGTCTGTTTTAACTGGTGAGGGGGACCCAGCCCCGCCCACCGTGGGACTCCTGGCCCACACAGTGCGTGCTACTGGGGAAGTGTGTTCAAAGTAAGAGCACGGGCTTCTTGAGTAGCAGTAGCGTGCCCAGAGCCCCCGGGGGGCCAGGCTGAGGCTCAGGTAAGGCTGAGTCACTTTCCCATCTCTGCTTGGGCCTTGGGCGAGCTTTCTGCACTCACTGTCGGGTGCCAGACCCCGGCCTGAGCACCGGTGCATGAGAGCAGGAGCCGTCCACACCAGCCTGTGTGGGCGGGTCAGGGAGCAGTCTTGGTCCCGCCTGGGACGGGCTCTCTGCAGCCCTGGCCCTGCTGGCGTCGGGAAGGTGCTGAGCCACGCTGTGTCCACACAGGTTCTTGCGTCACGTTCCTGTCGTGTACGTGGACTACCCGGGACCTGCCTCCCTCACACAGATTTACGGCACCTTCAACCGGGCCATGCTGCGGCTCATCCCGTCCCTGCGGACGTACGCGGAGCCCCTCACTGCCGCCATGGTGGAGTTCTACACCATGTCCCAGGTACACAGCCCTGCGCTCCACTAGCAATTGGCGTGCTCTGCGAAGACGGGGGTGCTGAGGTGGCTCACACTAGCGAGATGCCACTCGGCCAGCCGAGGCCACCCGGGCAGCCCAGGAGGGTTACCAGCCTGCTCTGAGGAAGCTGGTTGCAGTGGCACACGCTCACTCCCGGCCCCTCGGGAGGCCAGAGCAGGGGGATTGCAACACAGTGAGACCCTCTGGAAAAACACCCCTGCCCCAGCACACATGTACTCGCATGCTCACAAACAAGAGACTGGGCTCTTTTCACAGCTCCTTTCTAGCTGTCATCACAATCCTACCAGGCAATGCAACTGCCCATGTTTCCATGTGTGTTTCTGCTCTGTGTCCTGTACACGTTATGAACATGGACCGTGCAGGGCAGTTTCTGAAAGGAAAACCTGCAGGTTTAGCTGCATGTTTGCGTCTGGCATTATTCTCGTGCCATGTGTACAACTGTGTATTTCCCAAATGGCTCTGGGAACGGGAGCAGCCCAACCCACCAGCAAACCCTCATTCCCTAGCCTCTTCAGCGCTTTGGCAGAGGGGCAGACTGTTGTCCGTTTGACAGAAGTGCTTCCCTGACGGGACTAGTGACAGAGAACACCTGCTGCGTCCAGCCTGCCCTGAGTTTCCCATCATACATTGCAAATATTCTCCCCAGTATTCAATTTGTTTTTAAATATTTTAGAGATTTTTTAGTAGCTTTGCTGTTGTAAACATGTGAACTTTAATTTACTCTGTAAGTGAAGAGTGCAGACCTGACTTTAATCCAGACAGTCGTGCAGCTGCTCCGACATTCTTGCTGATCCGTCATGGACTGCGATGCAAGGACCCTCTGGGAGCATTTTACCTTTTGACTCCTTTCGCGTGTCTCAAGACGTTTGCACAAGCTGCCGTCTCTCGCCCCGCAGGAGAGGTTCACTCAGGACACACAGCCTCACTACATCTACTCCCCCCGCGAGATGACCAGGTGGGTGAGGGGGATCTTCGAAGCTCTGAGACCTCTGGAGACTCTGCCTGTCGAAGGCCTCATCCGGATCTGGGCGCACGAAGCTCTCCGTCTCTTCCAGGACAGGTAGGGAAGGCGTGCCGTGGACCCTGTCCGTACCGCTCCCCTGCGGCCATGCCTGCAGCTCTGAGAGAGACGTGCAGCGCGGCCACCCACGTCCAGCTAGGCTGTGCTCGTGGGGAAGGAGCAGAGGCAGGGAGGCAGCCTCCCACCCTCACGGGGTCACAGCCCTCCAGTGTGCCAGGTCACAGTGAGCCGGTGGCCGTGTGACCTGGGCCTCTAGCTGCCAAGTGCACCCCACATGCTAGCCGCCTGTGGTGACTTTATCGAAGCGCGTAGTTCCCTGGCGCGTTGAGTCGCTGTCCACCACGACTGCGTGCAGTTCCTGTACCCAGCACTCCCTCGGCGCGCTGCGTCCGTACTCTGGTCGGGATTGTAGCCGTAGCTCTGGGATGTCGGTTTTCTCTCTGGCCTGTTGGCCATCTGTGTCAAGGCTTCCCTTGTGAGTTTGGGGTTTTCCAGTTACACCCTGAAGGGAAAGACTTGCCGATGGCTGAGTGACCATCGTTTCTGGAGGGTCTGTGGTTTGCATTGTGAGTCTCAGGTAAAAAGTTGAGGCTTTGGGAACCAGCAGTTAACGTAATGGCTATGTCGCTGGACTCCCACGTAGTCGACCGCGGTTCGCGTCCAGGACCCGGTGGCTTAGAACTCACGCCGGGCGCATGTGCATGCGTGCCCATGATCCTGAGAGGAGAATGGAGGAGAAGGGATTGTGGCGTGGGGGGGGGATTTCTCACTTTCTATCTCTCTCTCTCTCTCTGTCTGGCGAGCACACGCGCCCTATAGCGAAAACCTCTCCAAAAAAAGAAAGGAAAAAAAAAAGTTGAGGCTTTTTTTCATCTTTCGAGGAACTACAAAAATTACTGACCTTTTTAGACAGGAGCTCTTTCTCACTCTCTCCATACTTTTTACGGTCTTTATCTTATAGTAAGGTATTGAATTTTGCAGATCCTGTCTGGTTGTAGCTTTTGTTTGTTTCTAGAGAGATTTTTGCTACAGGGCACGTGTGCTTGCCAGAGAGAGAGAAAGTGAGAGATCACTCTCAGGTGGGGCCGCCACACCCCTTCTCCTCCAGACTCCTCTTGAGATCTTGGGCACACATGCCACACGCCTGACATGAGTCTTAGGTCGCCGGGCCTGGAACTCAAACCGTGGTCGTGGTCAACTGTGTGGGAGTTCAACAACATAGCCATTACACCATCTGCTGGTCTTTTTTTTCCCTAAAGAGAGATTTTTGCTATAAGGCATGTTTGCTCACCAGGGAGACGGAGAGCAAGAAATCACCCCCAGGGAGGTTGCCTTGCTGCAATCCTTCTCCATTCTTCTCCCGGGATCTCGAACACACATGCACATGCTCCCGGCCCGAGTTTTAAGCCGCCAGGTCCAGGACTCGAACCACGGTCAACTACATAGGAGTCCACCCACGTAACCACTACGCCACCTGTTGGTCCCCTGGTTGTAGATTTTAATTTCATATAGTTTAGTATCACAGTCCTCCATTTTTCTGGGCTCATGTTAGGAGAGTGACGATATGGACAGCATGAGAGCAAGTTAATTTGTGTGTGTTCTCTAAACTTCCCAGGAATGACCCCTAACTGGCTCACTGAGTACCGCCACGTGAGGTCCCAGGAACGGCGCTGCCCGTGCCAGGTTACTCAGCAGGGAAGAGGCCACAGGCGGGCAGAGCAGGTCCCCAGCTCCCAGGCAGGTGTGATGTTTCCCGAGATGCCAGTCCACACAGGGCCTGGTTCCGCGGGACAAGCCCCTCTGGCTCTCCTGGTCGCCTGTGTGTAGTTGGTAGGAGCCAGCAGGTGGCATGGTGGTTAAGGCACTGGATTCGACATGCTTGACCACAGTGCGAATCCTAGACCTGGTGACTTTTAAGGTACAACAAATAATAGATAAATAAATGAGCCGCAACACCGTTTTCCCAGGTTTGCTCTAGTACCAGAGAGAAAACGTGGTTCCCTCTAATGGAGCGGTAGCCGCTATGCCTGCTCATTCAGACGGCTTCCGTGACTGTGTGGTGCCCCTACCCGCCCTCCACCTGGGGGCCTGCACCTTCACCTGCCCCCGGCTTCTCCCGGGCCCTCACATCAGGACAGCTGGCCCCACCTGCGCCTGCCGTTTTCCTTAGGAGCCTTGCACCTCCAGGCTGCACGTGGCGGTTCTTTGTCTGGCCCCTTGATGCCCCTGTAATGCTTGAAACAGGCCCAGAAACCAGAATTATATTTTCACTTTTTTTAAAGAATTATTTTATTTAAATTATATTTTTAAACTTTATTCATTTATTCATTTTTATTTATTTTGTAATTTGACCAGAGAGGGATAGAGAGAGAGAAAGAGAGCATGCACAAGCCACTAGGTCCAGGACTCAAAACTAGGGTGGGCTGTGTGAGAGTCTGGCACCCTTAACCACCACACTACCTGCTGGCCCCTATTTTCATATCTTAAATCAGTCTAATTAAACAGTTTAAGAGCTTTTTTTTTTTCCCCCCCAAGAGGTTTTGGCTATAGTGCTTGCCAGAAAGACAGAAAGCGAGAAATCACCCCCAAGGGGAATGGCCATGCCACAATCCCTTCTCCTACATTCTCCTCTTGGGATCTTAGGCATGTACACACACATGCCCAGCATGAGTTTAAAGTCATCGGGTCTGGGAATCGAACTGCGGTCCATAGCATGTGAGTCCAGCAACATAGCCATTACACCAACTGCTGGTCCCAGGAAGAGCTTTTCTTAACGTCATAGCACTGTAGTTGAAAGGGTTTTAATTGCCAAAAGGTATGTGCGTTTGCCAGAGAGAAAGCAAACGCTCCCTAATGGGGCACGACTGCCTCACAATCCCTTCTCCATTCTCCATCCTGTCATGTTTGGGGCACACATGCACACATCGCTGTGTGCTTTTCAAGCTTCCAGGGCTGGGACTTGAACTTGCAGTTGACCAGGTAGTACCCAACTCCCTTAACCGCTAGCCCAGACAGCCAGCCCCGTTGTGAACGTTTCAGGTGTGTAGCCGTTCTGGGCTCAGATTCTTAGGTTCTTCTGTTGGTGGTGAAGAAACATGATGGAGACTCCAAGTCGCCCACGGTGCCCTGACACGTGATGTCTTCTCCCACAGACTCGTGGAGGACGAGGAGCGGCGGTGGACAGATGAGAACATCGACATGGTCGCGCTGAAGCACTTCCCTAACATAGACAAGGAGAGAGCCATGAGCCGGCCCATCCTGTACAGCAACTGGCTGTCCAAGGTAACCTGCCCCGCAGCACCAGTGCCCCTGCTCCTCCTCGGCTGGGATCATCCTCTGACCACGAATGTGTCCTGAAGTGCGCGGTGATGACATGGCTACAGCGGCAGCACACGGGCACACACCGCCCGCGATGAGCGAGGGCGGGAGACCCCACGGGAGAACAGCCAGCTGTCCTGTTCCGTACCCACGTGGCATGGTCACACGAGAGCGGGGGTTTCCAGCGGGGAGGTGTCACCTCAGAACACCGCAGCGAGAGCAGTCACCACCTCACGTGTGCTGTGCACCATCACTGAGGCCAGCAGTCATGAAGGCACCGACGTGGCCTTCACACACTTGGGCTACACACAGCGGGTGTTTCCGGACAGCTGTGTGTTGTCCTCTCTGGAAGAGCCAAGGCGTTACCTAAGTGATAGCTCCTGTTGGCGTCTTTCCCAGCCAACGCTGGAGATACAGGCGAGAAGGAGCCTCCTTCAAGGAGCTCACACTCGGAAATGGGGAGCAACTCAGCCTGCAGAGAGCTCTCTGATAGGGATGACCCTGGCACTGGGGATCGAACAGGTTCCTCATGTCAGGAACGTCATGCCAGGCAGGGGGCCTGACAGAAGCTGGAATTAGCACCTCAGTTTGTTCAGGGTGGCACGCCTTCCACATGTTCAAGCACCAGCCTCCATCCTTCATTCATGGGAAACGCCTCCCCGTGGCTTGCCTTTTCACTCTGTTTAAGGGTCTTTTTTAGAATAAATATTCTTGGGGCCAGCAGTTAGTGTAATGGCTATGTCGCTGGACTCCCACGTAGTCGACCGCGGTTCGAGTCCTGAACTCAGTGGCTTAAACTCACACCGTGCACGTGTGCGTGCATGCCCAAGATCCCGAGAGGAGAATGGAGGAGAAGGGATTGCAGCGTGACCATCCCCCTGGGGGCTGATTTCTCGCTTTCTGTCTCTCTGGCAAGCGCTCGCGCCCTATAGCAAAAACCTCTCCAAAAAAAAAAAAGGAATAAATATTCTTGGGGCCTGTAGGTGGTATAGTGGTTAAGGACACTGGACTCCCACGTGGCCAAACACGGTTTGAGTCCCAGACCTGGTGACTTGCTTTCTCATTTTCTTTCTCTCTCTCTCTCTCTCTCTCTCTCTCTCTGGTCAAATTTAAATAAATTTAAATAAAACAATTCTTTAAAAAAAAAAAAAATTCAGGGCCAGCAGATGGCATAGTGGTTATGCCGCTGGACTCTCACTGGACTAACTGCAGTTTGACTCCCTGATCCAGTGGCTTTAAACTCACATTGGGCATATGTGCATGCACACCCAAGATCCCAGGAGGAGATCGGAGAAGGGACTGCAGTGTGGCCGTCTCCCCTAGAAGGTGATTCTCACTTTCCCTCTTACTGTCTGTTTCCCCACCCCCACCCTCCACGAGCGCACATGTGCTAAGGCAAAAGCCTATCAATAAACATTGTTGGGACCAGCAGTTAGCGTAATGGCTATGTCGCTGGACTCCCACGTAGTCGACTGCGGTTCGCATCCTGGACCCGGTGGCTTAAAACTCATGCCGGGCGCGTGTGCGTGCATGCCCAAGATCCCAAGAGGAGAATGGAGGAGAAGGGATTGTGGCGTGGCCATCCCCCTTGGGGGTTGATTTCTCGCTTTCTCTCTCTCTCTCTCTGTCTGTCTGGCGAGTGCACGTGCCCTATAACAAAAACCTCTAAAAAAAAACATTGTTAAGGATTTATCATTTAAGTCTGTAATCCAACTCTAATTGAGTTTGAGCAATAGGTCTGTTCTCAGGTTTTTCCCTATGAATATCCAATGTTTCGACTCTGTTTTTGTTTTGTATTTTGTTTTGATTTGTTCTGTTTTTTGAGAGTTTTTTTCTATAGGCGCTTGTGCTTGCTGGAGAAACAGAGGGACAGAGAGACTGAAAGAAAGAAATCATCCCCCCAAGGGGATGGCCATGCTGCAATCTCCTCTCCTCCATTCTCCTCCTGGGATTCTTGACACCCACACACATTCACCCAGCCTGAGTCTGAAGCCACCAGGTCCAGGACTCGAACTGCAGTCAACTGCATGGGAGTCTAGCTATGCAACCATTACGCCACCTGCTGACATTTTTACTGTAGTGCCTTTTTCTCTCCATGATCATGGTATATCTCTTCATGTATTTAAATTGTCCTTGTTTTTCAGTGAAATTTCATTTTCTCTGAGAAGGTTTTCAATTTTCTTAGATCCACTTCTGGTTAACTCACATTTTTTGTGCTATGTTGTAAACGTGTTCTGTTGTTCAACAGTTTCCTTACAGTGTGTCACGACACGGTTCACTTCAGTCAGATTACTAAGATGATTTCTTCTAAGTAATTTGGGCATCGCTGTTTTTCTATAGGATTATATTCCAGTAGACCAGGAAGAGCTAAGAGATTATGTGAAAGCTAGGCTGAAGGTCTTCTATGAAGAAGAACTGGATGTGCCCCTCGTCCTGTTTAATGAAGTGCTGGACCACGTGCTCAGGATCGACAGGTGGAGCTCTCACTGGACAGGCACACCCCTCCGCCTACCATTGACTCACGGGGGTCACCAGGCCCAGCTGCCCTCCCCCCTTTCCTTCTGAGCCCCTGTAACTATCCTAGACCTTTTCCTCAGCAGGACTACACCCTGTGTCCACCTCACCCTGTAGCCCTACCATAGTCATAGTCCTCCCAACTTCCCGCTAGAAGTGGTTTTGTCTCCCTCATGTCACCCGAGTCTGGAGGACAGCACCATATCCTGTCGGTCTTAGTGTCCCCACTGGCCCTGGCAAATAGCAGTTACTCAACAAATGTTTAAAATAGTCAAGTTAAAATAAGTGTGCAACTTTTAGAAAGTATAGGGCTTGAGTGTGAGAAGCCTTCAAATTGATCAGTTCTCATAACGTTTCAGAATATTCCGCCAGCCTCAAGGCCACTTGCTTCTGATTGGTGTTAGTGGAGCAGGAAAAACCACTCTGTCACGATTTGTCGCCTGGATGAATGGTTTGAGTGTCTATCAGATTAAGGTGGGTCTGGCCGGTGGCTCTGAAATCCCGGCAGTGGATTCTTAAATCTGAACGTAGTGCCCACGCGGGGAGAGTGGGCCTAACTCACCCACTGCTTTCGTAGGTCCACCGGAAATACACGGGGGAAGACTTTGATGAAGACCTTCGCACCGTATTGCGACGCTCCGGCTGTAAGAATGAGAAGATCGCGTTTATCATGGACGAGTCCAACGTGTTAGACTCTGGGTTCCTGGAACGGATGAACACCCTTCTGGCCAACGGAGAGGTACTGGGTGGCACGCTGCGCCCTGGCACCGCTACGTGGCCTCACGTTTTCAGGGCCAGTACGCCGCAGTGCTGCACTTGTTCCCACAGGTGCCCGGTCTCTTCGAAGGGGACGAGTACGCCACCCTGATGACCCAGTGTAAGGAGGGGGCACAGAAGGAGGGCCTGATGCTGGACTCGCACGAGGAGCTCTACAAGTGGTTCACCAGCCAGGTCATCCGCAACCTGCACGTCGTGTTCACCATGAACCCCTCCTCAGAGGGACTCAAGGACCGCGCGGCCACATCACCCGCGCTCTTCAACAGGTGCACACCCACCACTCTGCTCTGGGTCAGGTCGTGTCCTTCAAGGGCAGAGCCCCTCGGGATAGCCACTTTGCAACGTGGGCCTCTTTTCCAGGTGTGTGCTGAACTGGTTTGGTGACTGGTCCACGGAAGCACTGTACCAAGTTGGCAAAGAGTTCACGAGTAAGATGGACCTCGAGAAGCCCAACTACATCGTGCCCGATTACATGCCGGTGGTGTACGACAAGCTGCCGCAGCCACCCTCCCATCGGGAAGCCATCGTGAACAGCTGTGTGTTCGTCCATCAGACCCTTCACCAGGTGGGCGCATAGTGGAGAGCCATGGAAAATGCAGCCGGCCGTCCTGCCGTGGGCGGGGTTGGTGTGAGACTGGCTCTCGGTGCTCCACGTTTGGGGCTGTGCTGCACTCTCCTGTCTCCTGCCTCTCTGGCAGTCTTGTGTCTCGGCAGCAGGCTGTGGTTCTGGAGACAGCCAGCTCTGGGCTGCAGTGGTTCTCTGCCAAATGCCGTCTCCTCGTCTGTCCCTTCTCGCTGGTACCGCGGGAGCAGGCCCTGCTCCTCCCTCCAGGTCGCGCCTGGCCCTCTCCTGAAAGGCCCAGAGGAGCGTGTGTACAAGCCGTGCAGGCAGAGGGGTCTCTGGCACACTCAGGGCCACGCCGTGGACAGGCCCCATGGGCCACAGGGTTGATCTTGCAGCCGCAGTTGACTGACCCCGGCCCCCGATCCTTATTATAAGATTCCAGTCCAATCCAATCTGCCCAAAGAGCCACATGTCAGCCCTGTACCCAGTGCTCCCCAAGGTGGGACAGAGTGAGGGCACCCATGAAGCCTGCTCTGCCTTGCCCCTTTTGTGCTCATGCGGTTTATTATTTTGGTGTCCTTTAAGAATAAGCGACGAGGGCCAGCAGGTGGCATGGTGGTTACAATGCTGGAATCCCACGTGGCTGATGGAGCAGTTCTAGTCCTAGACCCGGTGGCTGGAAAATCACGCTGGGTGTATGTGCATGTGTAGGCAGAATCCTGAGAGGAGAAGGGCTTGTGGCAAGGCCATCCTCCCCGGAGTGTGACTTCTCACCTCCTCTCACTTTCCCCAGTGAGTGCACACGCCGTATAGCAGGAAAAACCGGAGAAAACAAGTAATGGAAGGGAGAGCAGGCTTTACCTGCTTACGTGGCAACGCAGTCTGGGCTGGTGACTGGCGTGGGTTTCACATGTCCGACTGCGTAGTTTGAAACCACGCTGGTCACCTGCGTGTGCATGCTCGAGATCCCGAGCCCAGGAGGAAATGGAGGAGGACTGCAGCGTGGCAGTCCCCGTGGGGGTGCTTCCTGGCTTCCTTCTCTTTCTCTCTGCCTCTCTCCAGCAAGTGCACGTACCTGCAGACACATTTAAAAGAAAAGGTCATGGACCCTGTTCACAGGAAGTGCACACCTGGGGCTGGGTTATCATGTCCTCACTGGGAGACGTTTGAGGAGGAGACTTGGAGGCTCGCGGGCTTCCTGGGAGCTTGTAGGTGGCTGCACTAAGACCCAGCTCAAGCATCGACCCCGAGGGCCGGGTTCATTCCTCCACGTCACCCTGTGCTCTAACAAAACGGAAGGGTTGGGGTCCTGGACAGTGAGGGGAAACCGCAGTGTCCTGGACAGTGAGGGAGTCACACTGTTTTCTGAAAGGCCAATGCTCGGCTAGCGAAGCGAGGGGGCAGGACGATGGCCATCACACCTCGCCACTACCTGGACTTCATCAACCACTACGCCAACCTGTTCCATGAGAAGCGCAGCGAGCTGGAGGAGCAGCAGATGCACCTGAACGTCGGGCTCCGCAAGATCAAAGAAACTGTCGACCAGGTCGGCCAGCTGGCTTACCCAGGGCGGGCACTGGAGCAAGGGCAGCCTACCCAGGGCAGGCGCTGGAGCAAGGGAAATGTACCCAGGGTGGGATCTGGAGCGAGGGCGGTGTACTCGGTGGGCCCTGGAGCGAGGGCTACATACCCGGGGTGGGCGCTAGAGCGAGGGCTCCGGGATCACTTTTCCCAACGTGGCCTGTGCGTAGGTGGAAGAGCTGCGTCGTGACTTGAGGATAAAGAGCCAAGAGCTGGAGGTGAAGAACGCAGCCGCCAACGACAAGCTGAAGAAGATGGTGAAAGACCAGCAGGAGGCCGAAAAGAAAAAGGTGCCGCTGCCCGTCCCGGGAGCCGGGGCCTTCTAGCGAGATGGTGGCAGTCTAGCTGAGCGGGTGGGCTGAGGGGGGCCAGCCATCGCTCGCCAGTCACTCAGGTCTGGCTGCAGGGCGTGGGGGCTAGTGGGGTGAAGTGGGCTCGGCCGTCGCCCGCCCCTCGGCCAGCGCGCACCCTGGACCTGAGCCACCTTCCACTGCAGGTCATGAGCCAGGAAATCCAGGAGCAGCTGCACAAGCAGCAGGAAGTCATTGCAGACAAGCAGATGAGCGTCAAGGAGGACCTCGACAAGGTGGAGCCCGCTGTCATTGAGGCCCAGAATGGTAGGTGGGCGCTGGCCCGAGTCGGCTCTTAGAGAACACGCTGTCCTGGGCGGGCGTGGGGCCTTCCCCACAGGTTCCGTGCATACGTTCCCAGACAGTAGTAGTAAATTGCAAAGCTTTTTCTAAATACCGAAGAGTGTCGTCTTTTTTCCCTAAAGAATGTCTATTTCTTTTTTTCTTTGAATCAACTTTATTTATCTTAATTTGACCAGAGAGTGATAGAGTAAGAGAGAGAGAGAGAATGCAGGTCACCAGGTCCGAGACTTGAACCATGGTCAGGCATGTGGAAGTCCAGCGTCCTTAACTACCATGCTGCCTGCTGGCCCCAAGAGTGTCTATTTCTTTTTTTTTTTTTTTTTTTTTTAGTTTTTATTATCATCATAATCTTCTTTATATTTCTTTTCATTTTCTCCCTCTCTCCAACCCCCGCCCCCACCCCATAGAACGTTA